AGGAGAGAGTATGTCACCTTGCGGTACGCCAGTTACACTGTCAGCCCAATCTGAGGTCTTTTGGCCCAGGTTAACTGGTTAAAATCGCTAGCGAAGATAAGACGAAAAACACTCCAAGTTTGAGTCTGCAAAGTTAAAATGAGAGAGGATGGGAAGTAGTACATCGGGGTTGACTGTATTAATAGCATTTGAGAAGTCCACAAGCACCAACACTAAAATCTTCCATATGCGTAATATAATCGTTAAATTTGGTTAAGTTTTGCTGTATAGCTGGTACGAAAACTAGACTGATAAGCACTAACTAGGTTATGTTTAGTATCGAACACAGAGATTAGCTGTGTTACTGATATCAAAACTATTTCGAATCGAAAAGGAACCTATAGATACAACTACATAGAACTCATTTAATTACACTATAACCCAGCCTGTTACCATAGAAACTAAGCTATAATTATGACGCTGCCACAGAATCTGTAAGATTTAACTGCCGGCAGTAAAAACAAACAAGATTATTCTCGGTCTTATAATGTAGTTATGTTAATGTTTGCCGAGTCGTAAGTACTGAACTCCAGTTACAATCGCAGCAAATGCAGCTGCTCGAAAAAAATAGATACACTATAAACAAACCTTTAGCCTTTTTTTATAGTATATCTATTTTTACAATTAATTCATCGTGTCGTCACTCCATCGTACTGGCATACGCACTGCTCTATGACCCTCCAGGTCATAGAGCAGTGCGTATGCCAGTACGAGGCTGCGGACTGTTGGATGCGTGTTAGAACCATGCTGCAGTTATATTATAGATAGAGCGCGAATGAATCGGCTCGACCGGGGAATGACCGAATCTCACAGAATGCCAGCGTAAAATAACAGCTCAATGCTGCGCCGTTTCGTATAGTAAGTGTAGAGAACCGGAGAATCTTTTTACTGGATACGAGGCATTCTATCTTAGTCCTCAGGGGTGACACCGCATCTACATTTTTATTGTTAATCGAGGATAGATGTAGATGTCTATGGGCCACGGCATTCACTTACCATCAGGTGGACTGTGTGCTCGATTGTCACCCTTACTCTATTTAAAAAGAGACTAAAGGCTCACTAGTGAACATTTACAGTTGTAATGAAATGATGAAAAGAAAACTGAATGATAGAGTGTGAGAGAAAGAGAGAGATCACAGCGCTCTTTTTCTGTCCAGGAGCCTGTCTCGGTACGTACTACACTCTTACCAAGCAGCAGTACATAGGCTATAGTATTTCGTGCATGTTTGAAAGGTAAGAAAGTGTAATACATTCCATTTTAGTCCGTAGGGGTTACATCTCATCTGTATCATTATTTGACTGAAGTAACTTACAACGACAATCATCTTATTGGTAGGAAACAACAAGAGGATTATTAGTTCGTTTGTTGTTTATATATGTAGTTTATATATGTACAAACAAAAGTGTTATACTCCAACTTATTACATTCTAATAGCGGTTAGGAATCATTATGAACTGGAATAGAAAAATGGAGGTACACGCTAAAGTAGGGAAATTATGTATACTTTCACCTGTACATTTTTTAAACTGTTCTTATCTTTCCGTTATATTATGTTGCTATTGGACTTAAAAATATAACATAGCAGATATATTTGGATGAAAAAAAAAAGACAACCCTACAATAATTGTGATTATGCCTAATATATCTTAAAAGAATTGCACAACTTCTAACTTTTTTGGACAAATAGGAGTAGAAATTTAATCAAATGTTTTTATTCAGTCAGCTTTACTACTTTAAAAAAGTGACACAAAATTACAACGACACACATTAATTAAACATCAATGAAAGTGAAGGGGGTCTTGATTCTCGAGTCAGACCTCCACCTCTTTTGACCGATGGCGAAATGTATTTAAGTACTCAAGCGCCTTCAAATCGAAGGCTGTATCGTGTTTGGTTACGGGTAGGGTTACCATACTTTCGTATTTGTAAAGACTGCCTCGTTGATCTAGTGGTTGTAGTACTGCGACAGCTGATCATGAGGTCGTGGGTTCGAATCCCGGGTCGGGCCAACAAAAATCAGTTAAGTTTTTCCATCAAGAAATTCTCAGTAGCTGCCCGTAGTCAGGAAGTTGGCGGTGTCTCACCCTCGTGCCTCGGAAAGCACGTAAAGCCGTTGGTACTGCGCCTGATCTCTCTCCGGTCGTGTCGGTTTGGCGTCACATCTGATGTGACGGTAAACCGACCGACTGAAATATATATGTATGAGTTATATAAGAGTGAAAATTTCGCGTTGCTATTACCATGATACATTCGTTTACACAACAACAATACCAAAAGTCAAACGTCAAAACGAAGTAAACCACGATTCCCACAAGATTTTATTTTTTATTTCTCTTTTTAGCTGAGATAGTAGACTTGACCCTTGTTAAGTCTACTATCCCTGCTAAAAACAGAATATAATATAATATAGAACGAAGCATGAATGGAGAACACTCACTAAATTGGTTAAAGTAAATTAATAAAATTAAGTCGGAACGTGTCGAAAAGTCCACTGTTGCCAGGCTTGGCAGGCACGTTGGCAACCGCAGTTTCTATTATTTTGAGCTGTTATTGGGAGGACGCTGCTGCCCGTCACCTGTTTCAATTTCCATCTGTCGCATCTTACGACACCCACGGGACGATGATATGGAGTAGTGGATATTCTTACACCGCCACTGCACGGTTCGAATGAGACTTTATGCATTTTTCTAATTAAATGATAAAACTACATTTATATCAATAAACATCCAGAACTTTGTCCGGACTTTACAAATTTAAACGTTTTGACACTAGTTGTTACGAGTATATATTATAATATCTGATGTTACGAGTACCTATATAGAAAAGGAAACAACACCTGCATTACACGTGACCGACTGGCACACGGCGAAATGGTAAAGCATTCGAGTACCTATGTAGAGAAATTATTAATTTAATTGCGACCTTAATTTTAATTCCAAACTTCTTTCTTTAGGCTGCGACCAAACTATTTTACGGGTTAACGCAGCAATAAAACATATTACCGTTACTGTTATTAAAGGCCACTGTTGAACATAAGCCTCCATAGATTACCTCATAGTGTGATATTTGCCATAGTTCACCTCTCATTGGCTTATGTACTCCTGGTATATTATCTTCTATACATCCATCCATTAGAGCCTATAGAAGTCCACTGCTGAACATAGGCCTACCCCATAGATTGCCTCATAGGGCAAGCAAGCGGGTTGGCAACCGCAGTTTTTTTTTAGTCGTTATTAGGAAGACCCTGATGCCTATCTCCCGATTTGTTTCCCTCTGTCGCCATTTACGATTACGGGATGATATGGGCTAGTGGATATTCTTACATGCACTCATATTGTATTGCCTACAATTAATTCATCGTGTCGTCACTCCATCTTATGGAGGGTCATAGAGCAGTGCGTATGCCAGTACGAGGCTGCGGACTGTTGGATGCGTGTTAGAACCATGCTGCAGTTATATTATAGATAGAGCACGAATGAATCGGCTCGACCGGGGAATGACCGAATCTCAGAGAATGCCAGCGTAAAATAACAGCTCAATGCTGCTGCGTTTCGTATAGTGAGTGTAGAGAACCGGAGAATCTTTTACTGGATACGAGGCATTCTATCTTAGTCCTCAGGGGTGACACCGCATCTACATTTTGATTCTTAATCGAGGATAGACGTATCTACGTGGCTCATAGACATCTGTCTATGAGCCACGGCATTCACTTACCATCAGGTGGACTGTGTGCTCGATTGTCACCCTTATTCTATTTAAAAAGAGACTTAAAGGCTCACTAGTGAACATTTTTCCCCATCGGCTTTTCTTTGTGGCAATCTTTGATAGAGTTGTAAGTATGTTCAGTGTGATAATGTAACAATATTTTTTTTCCAATTAATGAAATAAACTAGCATAAACTCTCACACCTGTTACCCAGAGTGGTAGGCATTTTGCCATAGTAGTATAAACAACTATATAAACAACCATAGTAATAACAACTCAAAATTAATAAAAAAAAGCTGCTGCTCATCTCCTTCAGTTTTGTAACCACGGCACGATATGGGGTAGTGGATATTCTTACACCGCTACTATACGGTTAAATAAAATGAATGTTTAGTGAAAAAAAAACGTTTTCGATAATCCCTTTAAAATCTTTGTAATCCTGTTTAGTTAATTACATAACATAAATGAAACCTACTTCAGCTATCTAGTCTTGTAAAAATTTTAGGGCACTGGAACCCCTGTAAAAGTATTGTCTTCCGATGAAAATTCAATTTAATTAATATAATTAATAGAATCAGGCGTTACTTTGCGGAAATCAATAATATTTAAGTTGTAGTGTAGTTATAGTGTAGTGTAGTATAGGGTAGTGTTGTTGGGAGTAGTGGTGCTGGGATTAGTGGTGACGGGGATAGTGCACGCAATTGAGGGAGGGCGGGAGGTGCTCTCAAACTTGGTAAGACACGTCATTTTATTTTATCGAGCGGGATGTACGCGAGGTAATTTTTACCAATTTTAAGAAAATTCAATTATAAATATTGTTTTACATAGCGTACATAAAACGAACACATACCTATTTTTATATAATTAGCTATAAAAAATGAAATAAAAAATAACAAGTTCTTGTACTATTATTTATTCTGTGGTGACAGGCGGGCACCGGTATTAACAATAGGTATTTTCATAATATATTACTGGCTGTAATACGCTAATAAGGATGCGACAATACATGTAATAAAAAAGAATAACAATACTACTATTTTATAATATTCAGCAATATTTTCTTTATAAATAACAGAAAAATAATTGAGATCGTAGCAAGGTATACCTATTAGAGATGCACCTTTAATTTTTTTAAGATAATCAAAGATTTACAAAGACTTTTTTAGAAAGATTACCAATTAAAAACAAACAGTTGACATTGGGCTATAATATTTACGAGTTATCAATAAAGCTAAATAATTGAACTCCTTATTACCTTTATTTTCGTCCAAAATGATAATACAGCGCTCGTAGTATGTATGGAACACGGCAATGTTTTAACAAATCACACGTTTAAGAACAAAATGAAACCAGACAAATACACGAAGAATATAGCAGCACAGGGTTATAATCGCGTACTATTTGTCATGTTTTGGATCAAAACATCACAATAACACTATATACAAGGAAAGACGAAATCGACAGAGAAGAGCGTGAAACGCGTCCCCTTACAACCGCTGTCAATACCGCACTAGCGTAACGAAGTGCTCGCTGACATAATGACATAAGTCACATAAGTTACAAGATGGCGTGCTTACTTGAGTTTGCGCAATATGAAGCTGAATTCTCGAAGCATAGTGCACCTGTCTACCTCGCTGTCTACCTGATTGTTTGTCCAGTTGATCCAGTTGTCATAAGCGCAACTACTGACCATGTGTTTCCGGGTTCGAATCTCGAATCAAAAGAAATTATCGGGTTTTACTGTCAACAATACCTCAGTACCATCTCCCGAACCCAGTCTCAGGAAGTTGGCGATGTTACACCCCCGTGCCTCGGACAGCAATTAAAGCCGTTAATCCTGCGCCTGATCTCTCTCCGGTCGTGTCAGACTGCCGTCCTTGCGGGAATGGAAAGTGACCTGTACTTGCACACATTCTTGCCCTTTGTCTCTGTTATGCGCAGATGGCTAGTTTCCGTTGAGATTGGCCGTCGTGACTGTATTTCGATCTGAAGGACATTATAATATCTGCTTCTTTATTAGACTAAATGTTATTTCTTACAAAACCGATAAGAATCGTCCAATGCTTCAGACATGCATGACAGCAAAAACAAAACTGTGGTGGCGTGGTGTTATCATCGCGTCACATACGAAGCAAAAATCAATCACATTATCGAAGTTTCTGAACTTCTTCGATATATTTATTCCGTAGCTTCGTACTATCGAATGAACACCTTGAACACCTTGCCCGACGGAAAATCTCCCCTTTACCTTTAGGACAAAAGTCTATTACCGGAATTCTGACCATATTATGATAAAATCCTAAAGAATATTTCAAATGCCTGCCTACCTACTATATATTTTAACAGTGGTAGAGCCACGCAGCAGCTTTTGCTGTAGCACGTATGGGCCGGCTCGAGCCGGGTTAGTACCACGACCTCACAGAATACCGGCGTAAAGTGGAAGCTCTGCTTCCGCGTTTCGTCTGGTGAGTGCAGGTGACCAGAGGCCCAATCCCCCCCCCCCCATCAACATGGTAGCGGAATTATCACTAAAATAAATTAGTGTTGCCCATGAACGGGCGGCGGTAGTCACTTACCATCAGGTGAGCCGCATGCTCGTTTGCCCCCTCTCCTATAAAATATATGTGTGTGTGTGTGTGTGTGTGTGTGTGTGTGTGTGTGTGCGTGTGAGTGCGCGTGCACGTGCGCGTGCATGCGTGTGTGCGTGCGTGTGTGCGTGCGTACATGCTTGCGTGCGTGCGTGCGTGCGTACGTGCGTGCGTGCGTACGTGCGTGTATGTGTGTGTGTGTGTGTGTGTGTGTGTGTGTGTGTGTGTGTACTTTTAAAAAGGCTTTTACGTACAGAACTCCAGCATGAGTGGGTCGGCTCTACCGAGGTAGGGGTAGGACCAGATCACGTCATCACAGAATAGCAGCGTAAAACAGCACAATTATGCTGCTAACACGATTTATATTATAAAATATGTAGAGAACCAGAGAGCCTTTTTGACAACGCATCTGAATTTCGATTCTTAATCGATTTATGGATTAAGACCCATTAGCGGATAAAACCACTTAAGATTTTATATAGTGAATCAAGGTATACCGACATATCTTGGAAAAACCTGGGTCGGAGTTCACGGATTTGAGATAGTATGTTTAGTGAGTGTGGTGGTTTCGCGCATTCCTACGAGAAACAGTATTGCAAATCAAGTCAAGCTACTGATTTCAGGTGCGTGAATTTCTTACAATTCGCGATTAAGGGAGCAGAAAGTGTGAAAGCATTGTTAGTCTGTAAATGTTGAGAATGCATTACTGTACTTTGTGATGCAAAGAGTTCATGGCTAGAGATCGACATGGGCTAAGAGTATCAGAGAGGATTAGCCATTATCGCTAGGGTTCGTTGGTGATTGATATAAGTACAAACGTCTCGTAATTTTAGTTTTGACTCTATTTCTTGTCGTCATTCATCTTTATCCAGAATAGAAATATACAAACCCTATAATGTACGGTCTTCATTTGACATTGGACTTCGTTTGGCAATAAATATTAAAAAAACAAACAAAAATAATAAACGAATTAACTGTATATAAAACCACTGTGGGTTTACTAACATTGGAGAAATGATAGAAGCAACACTGACTCCGTTTACTGGTTACGAGGCATTCTTCTTATACCAGGGGTGATAACTCATCTCCATTTTGAATCTTAATCGAGTGTAAATATAAATATCTACGAGCCACAGTATATATTTATCTTCAAGTGGACTGTGTGCTCGTTTGTCACTCTTATTCTTTTTTTTTTAGTATAAGGGTGACAAACGAGCACACAGTCCACCTGATGGTAAGTGGTTGCTGTGGCCCATAGACATCTGCATCTATCTTCGTTTGGGAATTAAAATTCAGATGCGTTGTCAGCCGTGAAGACCAAGATGGAATGCCTCTTTTCCAGTAAAAAGGGTCTCCGGTTCTCTATACTCACCACACGAAACACAGCAGTGTTAAGCTGCTATTTTACGCTGGTATTCTATGAGAGCGTGGGCCTTCCCCGGTCGAGCCGACTCATTCGTGCTACAACTATACTATTAATATAGCTGCAGCATGGCTCTACCACATAAAAATAATCTATAAAAAGCAAAAAAATAGCCGCATTGAAAATCTCTTTCTTTTTAAAAGTCGGTCAAAATAGCACTTTACGTACAACACGAATTGTTTAATTTTTTGTACCTTTACGCGTATTTTTTTCGTCATTATCGTTATAGCCTTTTACAAGTCCAAGAAGTTGGCTCTTCAGGAAAGGACCACTCTCTTACAGAGTTCCAGCATATAATAGGAGCCTGCTGCGCTTTGTATAGTGAGTATAGACAACTGGAGACCCTTTTTACTAGTAAAAAAGCATCCCATCTTAGTCCTCAGGGGTGACCAAGCATCTGCATTTTGATTGTTATAAGAGGATAGATGTGGAGGTCACACATCCACTTAACATCAGGTGGATTGTGTGCTCAAAATACTGAAAATAAAAAAAAAACAACGTAAAACAGTAGTATTCTGCTGCTGAGTTTCGTGTGTGCGAATTAAGGAGACGTTTAATACAAACGGGGCATTCCGTCTTCGTCTTTCAATGTGACTAAACTTCGCTAACCATTATGTCTAATTGTGAAGGTTCAATCAAGATATTTTTTTTAGTATAAGGGTGACAAACGAGCATACAGTCCACCTGATGATAAGTGGCCGCTGCGGCCCATAGACATCTACATCTATCCACGTTTGCGAATCAAAATGCAGATGCGTTGTCACCCGTGAAGACCAAGATGGAATGCCTCGTTTCCAGTAAAAAGGGTCTCCGGCTCCCTACACTCACCTACGAAACACAGCAGCTTTAAGCTGTCATTTTACGCTGGTTTTCTGTGAGAGCATGGTCCTTCCCCGGTCAAGTAGACCCATTCGTGCTACAACTATACTATTAATATAGCGGATTGAGTTTGAATATAGCTGCAGCATGGCTTTACCACTTATAAAGATGTAAAATTTACGTCTTGATCAGGTCAAAAATGTCAATTTTGTCGACTGTCCGTCCATTCAAACCATTCATTTTAAGTTGTCTTTCTAATTAAATCGTATTTTAAATATTTTAAAGTATATTAGAACAAGACTTCGTGACATGATTACAAATATTTTTAAAATTGTTATTATTTTTTATCACACAGAAAACAAACAATATTAATCACTTGATAGTCAATATTTTTTTTAATTGACAATATTTTTGTATATTATCCCAATGATTATTATTAAAAAGATTGTAACCAATATATTAAGTCTATGCTTGTAACTGTGTTAAAAGTTTATAATAACGCATATAAAACTGGACTTTAAATTTCACCTCTATTATAAATACATTGTCTTTGTAAAAGTAAAACTAGTTGCTGCCGCACTGCTCACTAGGCTAAATCTAGTTGCGCGGTTGAATCGACGTCCTACAAAAATGCGGAATTGTTCAGTTTATTGCTGCAAAAAGAGATCTGATCTGCCACGTCAAATTTACGAAAAAGTGGCGTTAACTTTTATACACATACGTGTACAAGTAACTTTTAATCACATTATTGCTATTCATTTCTTTTTAAACTGAAAACTTTCAACACTAACGGTCGTGTTGTTTTGAATTTTTGTTTACCAATACAAGCCGGTCGCCCTCATACAATATACGGATAGGTCTAGGGTCTGATCGAAGTCTGTATCCGAGTTGTCGCTCTCACCGAGCGATAGTGTTACAATGTATCTATGTGTGTGTGAAATTGTAAGTACGTTCAAAAGAACTTAAATTAAAAAAATTAAAAACTCTTATGTGTGAGACAATTGTTTTTGTGTGTTCAGATTTCTCCCCGCAATAAACGGTAGACAGTTTTGTATCGGCGAAAAATGCTACTTCCCTCCGGTTTTGCTCGTGGCCCGTGTTGCTCTATGAAGATATTATAAATATGTGCAGTGTAACTGAGGAAATTGTAATGGAAACGTACAATAATCCATCACGCTATTTTGTCCGGTGGGTGTCGTAAGAGCCGACTATGGGTCTATGGGAGACGCCAATAAAATCTTGTGGATTGCCAGGTAACCGGCTACCCGGCAACATACACCACACCGCGCTCGCGTTACACGGACAAGCGCTGTGTGCTTCGTCCATCATATCATTTATTAAGTTAATTTCGTACTCAAAATTAATTAAAGGCTGTTTTTTTTCTCTATGACATTTTCATCGACTTTAATAAATTAAAATGACGAATATCACAATAAGTATGCTGTTATTAAATTACTGCCGGATACCCGGCGTCATTATCCGGTACCCGACCGGATCTAAAAAACGTGCCGTAACTGCTTGGTATCAGATCCAAATCGGGTACCCACTTCATATCTAATTTACGACAAGATACTCGCTTACGCCAAATGTAAAATATTCAGACCAGCGATAGACAGTAGCGTCATTTATCCAGCAATCGTCATTCTGCCTGCCAAGCGTGACTTATTGGTCACGGCGGCAAA